CAAAATAAGGCCCCCCTAGGCTAAAGATTTGGTCCACTGATTCTGAAAGAAATGGAGTCACAAGAAATTTACCAGGAAATTCAGAAATTGGGTTGTTATGATGATATTCCAGAAGATGATGACATGATTGTCATTGAATAAATGAGTAAATTCTTGATACTGTAGGTTCACAGTTTGTCTGGTTTGTGTTGACAACTACCGTACTACCGTACCATATACAGGTAATACATTTCCTTTATTTTCATTTAACAATAAATGTGTACCATATTCTTCTTCATGGAAAAATAAGACATCCCCTGAAAATAAGACCTAGCGCATCTTTGGGAGCAAAAATTAATATAAGACACTGTCTTATTTTCAGGGAAACAGGGTAGCTTAGGGGGAAGAGAGGATTCTTCAGTTTACCACAGAGAGCAGTATTCTTTGTCCCCAAATTGGAAGTATGTAGACTACACATACCTGTTTGTAGCTGAGGACATGGGAACTCTAGGGTAGATGGGAAGGGCTAGGAGAAGTAATCCTCCTTAGTTACTCAGTCTATGGAGAAACAGATACTTGAGAATATTCAAGGTGGAATAGATATTAACAAAGGCAGATTCATCTTAATCCCTCCACGTTTGAAGTTCTCCCCTGCATTTTTGCACCTATTAGTCCACTTGGAAAATACAAAGTCTAAGAAGTTAGAATTCTAGTCCAGCTGGTATGGCTCAGTAGTTGAATGTCAAGCTATGAACCAGGAGGTCACAGTTTGATTACCAGTTACAGCACATACACAGATTGAGGGTTTGATCCCCAGTTGGGGCACATGTGGAAGACAACTAATCAATGTTTCTCTCTCTCTCATCCCCCCCCCCCCTCTTTCATTCCCTCCTTATCTCTCTCTAAGCATTTCCCTACCAGACTTGAAACCAGAGGAGCAGCAGGCAGTGGCAGCTCATCGCAGGCTAACTCTCTGAATCTGTCTGCACGTAAGACCCCCTTTTATTTTACTTTCTAGTGAGCTAACAACAGTCCCACCTTGTCTCACTTCTGTCACTGTGACTCTTACTTCTGAGTTCACTCAGCCCTGCTCGGCTCACTTCTTTCCTCTACCACTCTAAGAAGCCAAAGCAGCCCCTCCTACACTCTCCTGTTTCTTCTTCTACCTTAAGATCTTCCTTTGTTTCACTGTTTTCAGCTTTAATAAACATACTCTCAGAATCACACGGACTCTTGTGAGATCTTTCCTGCACAAAGTCAGGATCCCACATGCTACCAGCCAGCTGAAGGCAGATCTGCTCTGGGCCCAGTCCCCAGTTCAATAACATAATCAGCACCCTCACTTCACATATTTTCCCCTCAAAACTTTTATTTTTCCCCTCTATTGATTGAGGTATTACATGTGTCCTTATCCTCTCATTGCTCTCCCACCCTCTTTCCCTCAAAACTTTTTTCATAAAGCCTCCAAATGTTACAGTTGCAAGTAGCCATAGAAACCCAGTGTCACTTGGAGGATCTGAATGGGGGAACTAGGAGGTGAAAGGGTATCTCCCAAGGTCAAAGAGAACCTATAATAGTAGAGAATGGTAGGGCACAGAAATGGTCAGAAAAATAATGTTTGATTAAATAGGAGGTGAACACAGTATTTAAGTGACTTCCACAGCTGCTGCCATATAAATACAAATTGAATGAAAGCCCTCTAGTAACAAATCACGTGGTCCTTTCGACCTCTGTCCCTTTAGGCCTGGAGCTAGGAGAACAGTACTGATTACAGAGCTCTCTTTAAAGATGAGAACTACTGTGTTAAAACTGTTTTCTGTTTTAACTGTGGTTCTCCAGAAGAGCTTAACTAGCACCTAATATTTTGTGAAGTATGAAAATAATCTTATTTAGCCGAAACCGGTTTGGCTCAGTGGGTAGAGCGTCGGTCTGCAGACTGAAAGGTCTTGGGTTCGATTCCGATCAAGGGCATGTACCTTGATTGTGGGCACATCCCCAGTAGTGGGTGTGCAAGAGGCAGCTGATCGATGATTTTCTCTCATCGATGTTTCTAACTCTCTATCCCTCTCTCTTCCTCTCTGTAAAAAATCAATAAAATATATTTAAAAAAAAAAGAAAAGAAAATAATCTTATTTAATTCTAATCTCCAAAAAATAGTTACATTAACCACCAGTCACTCTTAAGGAATTGGGTAAATTTGCACCTTTTTTTTTTTTTTTTTTTTTTTTTTTTTTACAGCATTAACTAACATTTAAACATTAAATAACTTGGAAATAGTTACCATTATCTGCTGAGTTCCTGACTTCCACCTAGAGGGTGCATAAAAAGGGAAGGACAAATAAAACCCAATTCAGCAGGTCAGGATCTAAAATTAAACCATGAGTAAAACGCAGAGGGTGCAATGTTCGTTTCGTTCTGTACTGTGAAGAAGGGAAAGCTAGACGTTTTGTCTGGAGTGATATAAATTATTACATGGAACAGCTTCTTTTCATTGTCTAGGGGAAAAAAACAGTCACTAAACTTTAGAAGTCAGGTTGAGTAGAGATTCCAACATAATCAAGTTTATGTATTCCAGAAGTATAAACATTACTATTTAATACAGCTTCAATTATAGTCTCAATGTGGTTTTAAAAGCTACTCTTTCCTCCTAGATTTTCCTGGTATGCGGAGATGTGCTTATCTAAAGCACCTGCTCTTAATGAAGAACACCCTCTGAACATCTGTCTATTCAGAATACCCGTGAGTATGATGTGTAAAGAAAACAGTTATTGCCCTCGCCGGTGTAGTTCAGTTGGTTCAGCATCATCAGGTGCACCAAAAGGTTGCTGGTTCAATTGCTGGTCAGGGCACAATGCCCAGGTTGCCAGTTTGATCCCGTTACAGTCATGTGGGAGGCAACCGATTGATGTTTCTCTCTTCTTCCCTTCCTCTCTCTAAAAATCAATGAAAACATTAAAAAAAGTTATTTTGTGAACATTTCTAATTGTTTCTTCAGCATCATAAAAAATGCAATATACGGTCATAGATAGTATCCTAGTTAAAAAACAAAAAACATATATAAAAAAGCCCAACTCCTAGCTATAAAAGATATTCGTGGGCCAATCATAGAATCTTGAATGTGTACTGAACATTAAATGATACCAGGAAATTGTTTTCTTAGGTGTGATAATATTATTGTGATTCTGAACAAATGTCTTTATTCTTAGAGAGGCAGGATGAAATATTTAGAGGTGAAGTATTTTGATGCCTATAACTTATTCAAAAGGTATACAAAAAAGCATATTATATATATACATATATCTATATCTAGTCTTGCATATCTATTTTTTATTTTTTAAATATATTTTATTGATTTTTTTACAGAGAGGAAAGGAGGGATAGAGAGAGAAACATCTATGAGAATCATCGATCAGCTGCCTCTTGCACACCCCTACTGGGGATATGCCCGCAACCAAGGTAGATGCCCTTGACCGGAATAGAACCTGGGACCTTTCAGTCAGCAGGCCAACGCTCTATTCACTGAGCCACACCGGTTTCGGCTATTTTCTATATTTTTGACAATTTACATAATAAAGAATTGTGGTGAGGGGAACAAAGGGCATCTTTTTAAAGTTCCTTAGCCAAATACATTCCCTTTGGGTTTGCAGCGATGTTTTGTTTTGATTGCTGTTGCACCGCAGGTACCATGGAGCCAGAGCAGTCTCTGCTCCACGCAGGCGCCAGCAGCTCCTAATCCCACTTAAATCCCCGGATTCAGCATCACCTGCTCGCTGGCCTGAGGGTGAAAGGCTCACACCAAGCACAGTCTTTTTTCTTTTTCTACAGCCTGCTGACACACACGTGCACTTAAAAAATACAAATTAGTTTGCTTTGCCTTTTCTAGCAGTCAGAGCTGCATCTTGGGACCTGCATTGCTTTTCTTTTTTGCCAATGAGCCCCGAGCTCCGGACAGAGGTAATTTCTTTCTTTCTTTCTCTCTCTCTTTTTTAAAATTTAAATTAACATTTTATTCAGAGGGTATTTCTTTCTGGCCAGTGGCCACACTCTGGATGACTTTATAGAGGACGCTTTTTTTTTTTTAATATATTTTTTTATTGATTTTTTTTTTTTAACAGAGAGAAGGATAGAGAGCTAGAGACGTCCATGAGAAACATCGATCAGCTGCCTCTTGCACACCCCCTACCAGGGATGTGCCCGCAACCAATGTACATGCCCTTGACTGGAATTGAACCTGGGACCTTTCAGTCCGCAGACCAAGGCTCTACCACTGAGCCAAACCGGTTTCGGCTTTTTTTTTTTTTTTTTTAATAAACCTTTATTGTTCATATTATTACAAAAGTTCCTCATTTTTTCCACCCTCCACCAGGTTCCTACCCCACCCCTGCCCTTTCACTCTTTTTTTTTTTTTCCCAGCCATCCATTGCTGAATTTGTATTTCGGTTTGTTTGGACTTAAGTTATTTCTTGCAACAGCTCATCTCATCATCCTGCAGTGAGGAAAAGAAAATCCTGGGAGGAACTCAGAATCACAACTTTATGCTCTTATCCTTTTTAAAAAAGTGAGCGCTATTTAAAAGGTTAATGAGCACACGGACAAGGCCGTGCTGCCGTTCATATGCAGCACCTGCTGTGAACCTCCCCTCCCGGGCCAGTTTCTCCGCGCCCCGCCTCGCGGCCCCCGGCTCAGCCGGCGGCCCCCATCGTTCAGCAATGACGGCAGGTGCCCAGAAAGGCATTCCCGGGGAAGACAGTCAGCTTCGGGCTTAGGGCTGGGAAACCCATATGGACTTCGGGCTCCCGCAGGGCGCGCCCGGGGCGCGGGCGGGCGGGCGGGGTCGGCAGCGGGCCCCGCGCTCGCGCCTCCTGACCCAGGATGGTCCCGGCGGGGTCCGCCATCTTGGTAAAGGCCCAACCGCGGACACTGGCGGGGCTCCCGGAGCCCAAGGTCACAAAGAGCGAGTGATCGGGCCACGTGGAGCGACGCCGGCTGGGGCCCGTGCCCGGCGCGGCTCCGGGGCGCCGCGGGCCCGGCCGAGGCTCGCTCCGAGGATGGCGAGGCAGCGGGCGCTGAGGCGCTGCCTGCAGCTGCTGGCGCCCGCGCAGGAGCCGGCGCGACGGAGCCCGGGGCGGAGGCACCCGGGCACCTGCCGCCGCGGCCACTCCCTCGGCGCCGGGGCGCTGTGGCTGCGGCCGGAGGAGCCGCCGGGGCCGCGTCCCGCAGGCCCTCCCGGCGCTCGGTGAGCCCGCGGCCGCTCCGCGCCTGCGCCTGCGCCCCCCGGGGTCTCGCGCGGTGACTTCCGCTCCGCTGCGTCCCCGGCTTCCGGGTGGGACCGGCCTGGGGCGCGGGCGGGGGGGGGGGGGGCCGGGGCGGAGGGGAGGGCGGGGTTGGGTCCGAGCCCTGCCTCCTAGCGGGGATGCCGCACTTCTGAGCCGCCGGCTCGCCGTGCATTTCCGCATCTCGCGACCTGCGGAGCCCGCGTCCCGAGCTGCCTAGGTGAAGAGCCGCATTGATAGTTATTATTTTTATTTTTATTATTATTTTCTCCCCCGGGAAAGACGCCGTCTCTGGGATGCGATCCCATCTCCTCTGCAAATCATAGGTTGCATCCTCCACCGGACCGAACGCTCGTGGGCGAATCGTCTCGTGGTTGTACGTAAATGAATGGGTTTCTCGGAGAGCTGCTTGATTCTGCTTCCTCGGAAGCATTTATCTTGTGAAAATCCGTCCCGACGGGTTTCTCCCCTTCCACCCTGGAAGGGAGCCGAGGAGTGGAAAGGAAGGGCCGGGGAATGGGGCGCGGTGGGAGCCGGCGCTGGCCTGAGGGCTGTGCGCCTGGGACAGTCACAGAGTCTTGAGTGTGTGCTGAACACGAAGGGATGTGTTTGTGGGTTACATTTGGGCGTTTTGGCAGGCTTTCCAGGACAGGTGTGCAGGTGGGTGTCCCTCTCCCGTCCCCCATCCCCCCCTGGCATAGAGCTCGCTAGGGTTCTGGTCCTTGAGATCAATTCGCGTCTATAAGCTCCGGAGTCTGGTGCATCGCCCCTCAGTTGAACCTGGGAAATATGTATCAAGGGAATGAGATAAGTTTTAAAACCCCATTTAGTTCATGTACTTGCCTCTGCTGCAGGTTCTGTATATGTTATAATAGGACTCACCTGGCTTACTTTAGCTTAACGTGAAGCGTTTGCTATTTGATTCATTTATTGAGAAAGTGATTCCTGACATAATAGCGCTCTGAAAAGTAAGAATAATATATATATTTGTTATTGTTAAAAATGGATAGCTAGCAGTTCCATTTCCGTTGCAGTCGCCTCTGTTTTGATTGCGCCTCGGACATCGACGTCTTTTAGAAAGAAGTTATATAATCTTTAAAAAAAGAAAAGATTACCCGTATCCCACAGTCGTCTGGTTTTGTTGCAAGAAAATATTATGTCTATTTGAGAAAAGATAGGGCAGGTGTACTTGTTTACAGTCAGAATTTAATAGAGAGATTGACTTCAGTTAAAACTGTTTTAAACAAATTAAAATATAGTCACAGTTTTCAAAGATTTTATTTTCCATTACATTTGCAGGCATTCCTGCTGCAGGAATTTTGGTAAGTCTCCAAGAGACAAAAATATTTAGTGTATTTCTCATATCCTTGTTTCTCTGACAATTCCAAATTATATTGTACAGATACTGTACTGCACAATTTAATTTTAAAATTGGTCCAGTAATAAATGGGTGAAGGATATTTTAATATAAGCATTCCATCAAAGGGTTTGGGTCGTGCTTTATTTGACGCAGTCATCCTCCTGCTCGAAGAGTATTTTTGTTGCTTTTAGGCATCTGTGAGTTTAGGAAACTGAGGGGATTTTTAAGAACTTTTTTTCCCCTGTGTTCGGGAAAAGTACTATTTGCATTTAATTTTGTTGTTTCATTCTGCTTTTTCTTTGTGGTGGTAGATAGCTGTGGATAATGGTGTGTGTGTGTGTGTGTGTGTGTGTGTGTGTGTGTTTTCATTTCACTTCACTCTTTTTAGGTCAGTTAGAATAGATGGCTGTAGCTGGAGGGCTGTGTTGCTCTGGGCATTTTAGGAGGAAATGCGTCCAAGTAAAAAGTGTTTTCATTGACGTGTGCACTTGCACCTAGTTAATGGTTAACAAGCCTTTGTCCTGGAGGGATGTAAGGGTCTGTATAAAGTTGGCATTAAAAGAATCACCTATGGGATTTCCAGCTTGAGGCTCTAGTAGTACACTATTGTAACTGCTATAATCCTAAAGCATCCTACCTATCTATAATTTATAGTGCTTTGCATGAGTTCTCTTTTTTAATGTAATAACTATTGGGGATTATAAGTATTTTTATTAAGAGTTTTTGTGACATTATATATGGGGAATCGATTTGTTATATCAGAGATACAATATGTAAGATTGTTAACCCCATTCCACAGATGAAGAAAACAGGAAACTGAGGGCCTGGGAGATTTCAGTATTTTATTCAAGGTCCCTTAGCACAGCAGTCCTGGCCTTTGACAGAATATACTGTATATACTTCTTAGAAAGGGGTACTTGTTTAGTCAAGATAGCGTGGTATGGATCAGCAAGCCTTGGTCTGCAATGGTCAGTACCATTGGTGATGGAGGCACACAGTACCATTGGTTATGCTGGCATATAGATGGATGAGCATAAATTCAAAAGCATGATTGAAAAACAACTGTTTGTACCTGCTACTTAGAATAATCTATCTTTTCCCTTGAAGGCAGCAATTTTTTGTTTATCTAATTTGGAGTCTCTCTCAGATTAAGGAACACTAACATATTGTACAATAAATACCTTTAGACACCTTTTTGTAATCTCTTTTATTGATAGGGATAAAGTAGTCAAAATAAACACCAAGCTTTGTCATTGGCCTTCCTTAAACTATGGATTTGTTTTTCTTTCTTTTTTTTTTTTTTTAATATATTTTATTGATTTTGTACAGAGAGGAAGGGAGAGAGATAGAGTTAGAAACATCGATGAGAAAGAGTCATCGATCAGCTGCCTCTTGCACACCCCCTACTGGAGATATGCCCGCAACCAAGGTACATGCCCTTGACCGGAATCGAACCCGGGACCCTTCAGTCCCCAAGCTCTATCCATTGAGCCAAACCGGTCTCGGCTGGATTTGTTTTTCTTACAAGACCCAATGCTGGGACAACTAGACAACAGCAATAATTTGTTATGAAACTTGTTTTCTGAATTTTGAAAGTCCTTCAAACTCCAAAGATGTATGTCCTCTTTTTAAGTTATTGTGATCATTTCTTTGGCTTGTTTAGAGAGTTCATGAAAACAAATACCCTGTTTCCCCGAAAATAAGACAGCGTCTTATATTAATTTTTGCTCCCAAAGATGCGCTAGGTCTTATTTTCAGGGGATGTCTTATTTTTCCATGAAGAAGAATACGGTACACATTTATTGTTAAATGAAAATAAAGGAAATTTATTACCTGTATACGGTACGGTAGTACGGTAGTTGTCAACACAAACCAGACAAACTGTGAACCTACAGTATCAAGAATTTACTCATTTATTCAATGACAATCATGTCATCATCTTCTGGAACATCATCATAACAATCCAATTCCTGAATTTCTTGTGACTCCATTTCTTTCAGAATTAGTGGACCAAATCTCTCATGTTTAGCAATAGCATTCTGAGACAGAGCCGGGGGGGGGGGGGGGGGGGGGGCGGGGGACGGGGACGGGACTTATTTTCGGGGGATGCCTTATATTTCACTCAGAAGGAAACCTGTAAATAGGTCTTATTTTCAGAGGATGTCTTATTTTCGGGGGAACACGGTACTATATATATTCAGAATATTGTGCAATTTTATAGTTGAAGTACCTAATGACAGCTTAAAGAATTTGTAGATTCCTTTTTAAAAATATATATATATATATTTATTGATTTCAGAGAGGAAGGGAGAAGGAGAGAGAAGTAGAAACATCAATGATGAGAAAGAATCATGAATGGGCTGCCTCTTGCATGCCCCTAACTGGGGATGGAGCCCACAACCCCAGCATGTGCATTGACCGGGAATCGAGCCGTGACCTACTGGTTCAAAGGTCAACAACGCTCAACCACTGAGCCACACCAGCAGGACTCAAAGTCATTTTTTAAAACTCGAGGCCTGTTTATCTGTTTATGATATAAACTAAGTAAAATTCCACACGTGAGGTGCCACGTGTCATTTCTCTTTCCTTGCTGACCATATACTCCTTTAGTTTTGAGTGTTTGTCAGTATACTTAAGATGAGAACATGGCTACTAAACAGCCCAGGCTCCATCGCCAGCCAGAACCGGACCCCTGGAATGGAGTGACTTTGACTTGACTTCATCTGTGAAGGGGTCATACAGTCTTGGAATGTTCAAGTTGGAAAGGACCTTTAAGAGTATGTGCCAGTTCAAGCTCTTTAAACTTACAGATTTCCTGTTTCTACTTGTACGAGAGTTTTTAACCTGTCATGATGTCACAATACTGAAACATCAACATTGGACTTTTCCACCATTTCACAGAGATGAGATACTTTAAAATTCTTGGATGAAATTTGATTCTTTTCTCATTCTTTCCTTCTGTGGTGTCTCAATGTTATATGTAGATGAAATATCCAGTGTGTGTAAATGTGTGTGTGCTGTGTGGGACCTCCCCCCACCCCCTTTTTTGAAACTGGCTGCGAATACTGAATATCATCACAATGAAGGATTTGACAAACTTTAAAAAAATGTTTTATTTTTAATTTTATTTTCATTGAAATATTACAGATGTCCCTCCTCTCCCCCATTGCCACCCTCCTCCCCCCTCCTCCCTCCTTCTCTCCACCCCAGGCCTTCACCACACTATTGGAATTTGACAAGCTTTTGATATTCTCAGCAACACTCTCTTGGTTAAGTATGATTATATAGAGCTGTATGATTTCTTTTTGCTAGCTGCTCAGATATCTTACTTTATAAACCATACTTTATAATGTGCTCACCTCCAATTTTTAATACACTACCCACATTTTAATACGTTTTGTTGAAGACATGACTATGCATTTATGGGGTACCCTGAGGTCCAGGTTTTCCTGGGACTAAGGAGGTTCCCAGGATGCAGGACTCTCAGTGCTGAAACTGGGCAAGCCCTGGGCATATTAGATGTGCTGGCCCACCTACCTGAAGGTGTCACTTTGTGGGACTTTGTTTAATAAGTTTTCCCTTTTGGGAGGATAAAATGCCAGG